ATTATACCAATCAAACACACTTGAAATCATTTTTCCTGCAAAACATTTTTTAGGCAAATCTTTTCCCTATAAAATATTTTCTTTCCACCCTTGCAATCAAACGCACCCTAAACATCCCTATCTCAAATCCATAAAACACCAAAATTAAAAAGTTTTAAAAGACTATCCAAATCTATAATGACAACTCTAGCTAATTCATTAGTCGCAAAATATAAATTAAATCCAAAATTTTCCAATTGAAACAATAATTATAAGCACATAATGCATCGAATAGTGGCGAGCATACAATCATTGACTTGACCATGGATCTCGTCAGTAGAGAGCAGAATCCGAACACTACAAAACCGCCAATCGAATAGGGCATAAGAACATAAATTTAGCCCCCACTTGATGTTATTGTAGGAAGAGCAATTTTGTGAATAACGATTTTACTTGCGGTTAAAAATAAATTTGAGGTAAAAAGAATAAATTAAAGTAATAATAAAAATTAAAACACGGTTCTAAAGTACCAATAATAAATGGTGATTATATTCACACAACAATTTTTATGTCTTGCATTACATTTTAATTACACGTAAAATTTTCAATCTTTACTCATTATAGCATTTATATTCATAACAATTTTTCATGAAATTCTTATCCTCAAAATTTTCATTAATTAATACATTTTGTATTTGATAACAGTTTATGTCCGAAAAGTTTGTTGACATAGTATAGTGTATAATAAATTATTTTTCCATCATATTTTGAAAACAAATAAATAAAGAAGTACTCATTTCCAAGAAAATAAAATATTTTGATATAAATCTTATAAAAGGAACGAGATGTACTAATTGATGGAAAATTGACGATAAGAATTCGCCAAAATTTTTTTAAAAAAATAATTGCTACAACGAGCAAAGATTGAAGAATTTAAATGCAATTAAATTGTGACGTAATAAATGAAAGTTAGAGTGTGTTTGATTGGTATGAAAAATATCTCCTAAAAAAATATTTTATTTGTTTGGAGGAAAACGAAAACTTACTATTCCAAAGAAAATATTTTCCTTAAAAAAAGAAAAATTAGACATATTTTTAAAAGTTGAAAAATATTTTCAATGAAAAAAATAGCAATCAAACACTGCAAACTCCAAAGTATAAAATTGGGTAAAAAAATGACATTTTTCATTGAAAATAAATGTAATCAAACACACCTTTATGGTGCCGATTTAACCGCTATAAATAAATTATTATGGGTAATTTGGACTGCGTTTGTGATTGATACGATGGATTGCCTTTAAGAGTTATTTTTAGAAGAAATTAGTCAATAATTTGAAGTGATAATATTCACATTTGAATAAAAATCTCTGGAAGGTTAAATCATTTTCTTTTAAACATAAAGTGCTAACCTGTTATTAGAATAATAGATTAAGGACCAACGATGCAAACTGGAAAAAAATTCTCAGAGAAAGATTCTGCTGCTCTCACTAGTTTTATTAACACAAATTCGAGAAGCGGCCGACCTTTCAAATCTCTCTTTGCAAATCAGTAGTAACTCGCTCCGAGTCGCAATTCTTGACAGTGAGTTATCCTCAATCTTCATATCAAGGTATATGCGTTGGGCTTTTGTATGAGGTTCCTTCCAGTGTCAGGGTTTAGGGTATTGTAAAATTTGCTATCTATTTTGCATATAGGTGGTGGTATAAAAGCAATTTACTTCGCCTTTTTTCTAGAATGTTTAATGGCGGATTAGGATTTGGTATGAGGTTCCTTCCAGTGTCATCTGCTGCATACCCTTCTGTATACGTGTCTATTGAAATTAAATGTTGGCGGCATTTTTAATTCTCCGTTGTCAAAATTGGAGTAGATTTTAGACACTTCAATCTTGGACTTAATTTTTTTTATAACCTATTTGTTTTCTTTCTTTGTGTGAAATTATTCGAACTTTTATTGCTATTGTTTAAAATTGCGAATTGGAAAGACATTAGTGTATTTGAGTTTATTACGGGCTTGTATTGGCATGTCTTGTTCTTCCAATGGTTTAGCATTGCAACCTTCAGAGTTTTAGTTCTTGTTTCTTTCACAAGGGGGCTCTTCTAAGCTTTAACTGATCAAATAATGATTCCCTCGAGCTATACTGTTCCTTGGTTTTTCTACGGGAGTGGGAAAAAGTACAGTGTCTTGACTGTTGAATGTTTACTGATTAGCACAAGGGATTGAATAAATTTAGTTAAGAACTGGTTGATTTTTAGTCGAGTGAGAGGCTTATGTTGCTTACACACACCGCCTTGCATAGTGCTGCAGGTTGGTATTGCAGGAAAGGGGTTGTAAACTAACTCGGAGTCATTGCGCTATCCTTTGCTCAAGAGCTTCAACAGTTTATTAGGGTATTGCAAATGCTCTGTCCTTCAGTAATTGGTGCTTAATGAATTTCCTACTGTCAATAGTGATTACACATTTTATTAGTTTGGCATTATATTTCTACATAATTGTCAGAGATGGTAGCATATGGACTGGGGAAATGTAGAGGACTATACATTTTTCATGTGCTAATTAGGTTGGAAAGGCTGAAATATGAGAACAAGAACCATCAGGATCTCTTGAGTACTGATTCGAAAGTATTAACTTATATCTTGATTCTTGAATTGCGTTTCTTATTTAATAGATTAGTGACTATGTCTCAGCTTTGAAATGGTATTGATCTGGACATCCTGTTTTAAACTGGAAGATTGTGTCGTGTTGAAATTAGGACCTCATTGGAGGTTGTGGTGGGCGTTAGCATAGGGGTGCTATTCGATAGCTGATAAAAGTTTTGAAAACCTAACGTTTTAATTTTTTTAAAGCTACCACCAATCTCTAATCCCGTTGCTTTACCTAGTCATCTCATGATGATGTATAGCCTTTCACATTGATCCATGGTGAATTGAAGCAAAGCTTGAAATTTCTGTTTTGTGCAGTCAATAGGTATTTTCTTTTATAGTATATTTATTTGGCCCCTGTTTGTCTTTCATTAAATCGAAACTCTTTTTTCTTCAAACTCATTTTCAACTACACATTCACACACGCAAACCCAAAATTTTTCTTACTTTTTAACCACACATTCTCTGAAAAATCAATATTCCAAAACTCATTTTCCTCAAAAAAACTCATTTTAATAGAAGACAAGCAAGGGCTTAACTGCATTCCCTTATCCAGCCCACATCTCAAGCTAGCGTTCAAACATATGGGGTACCTTTTTTTATTTATATATATATATATATATATAAAGATAAAAATCCACGATTCTAGTTAAAGCTAAAATATTGAAAATTGAAATATATGCTATTAGATGCATATGATCTTGTTGACCAAATTGTGCAAGAACATAAGATTGCTTGATATGCTATTTCGACAATTCATTTAACAAGACTGGTAATTTTTAACACCTGCAGCAATCCCGGAGAAAATATGAATAAGAATAAGAACCCATTGGTCTTCTTGGACGTATCCATTGATGGGGATCCTGTGGAAAGAATTGTCGTTGAGGTGATACCCATATCTTAAAAGCCTCAGTATTTAGAGATGCTATCAGTGCAAGAATTATTCATTTATTTAATTGTTTGATGCTTTTGCTTCTATCTTTTTGTGAAAATGCAGCTGTTTGCTGATGCTGTCCCCAGAACAGCTGAGAATTTTAGGGCACTCTGCACAGGTACATAAGTCTAAATTTGATCATTTTTGCTACAATTTTATGACTTCGTGTACCTAATACGCTCACTTCCTTTTCATTCCTTTCCATTTTAGGTCATTAGTGCAAGCGTACTTATCTAAAATGATTTTTGACGCTTATATGTATCAGTTTTTCGACATGCACAAGCAGTTTATAGTGAAGGGATAAGTTGGATCCTTGTGATCACTCAATTTATACGTTTAATGCAGTTATTAAATGTCACATGAAAATTTCATAATGGGGTGGGAAGGAAGAAATGGTGGTGGGTTAGTTTTTATTTTTGTTGTAAATAATTTACTCTTTATCATTTTTTTTCATGTATAATGTTTCCATGTCAGAAGACAGTTAAACATTTTTGGTACAGGGACTAGGCATGAGAATTAGAACTTACACTTGTATTTATAGTTTAAAGAGACCTTAAATTTAGTGGAATGTAAAAGTTGTTATTTTTTGTGCAACATGAACATATTTTTATATCAATTTAGATTTTCATAAGTTGTGTGTTCTATCATATTAAGAACAATGAAGTTTAAATAGATTGAATCTAGTTTGTAAAGAGCATATGTTATGCATGAGTTAGGAATCATACCCGGATCTGCCATTGAGGCTTTATAGTGACTGGGGAAGTGTTAACTGCTTGACGCACGATGTGACGAACAAAGAACGAGATTTGTAGAAGAAAGGGAAGAGGGGACAAAGGGAAAAGGAGAGGAGAAAGAGAAGAAGATGAAAAGAATAGAGAGAATTTAGAGGGGAAAATATGATTTATTCAATCATCAAGTCCAACCATTATAATGCATAAGCCCTCTTTGTAAAGGTTTCAAGTCACCTAATTTAAGTAGGAAAACAAATAAAGAAATAATATAAAATAAAACCTTAATTACGTTTCCTAAAATAAATATTTAAATTGGAAAGTCTTCCATATAATATCTCTACTAGGATTTCCCATCACTGTTCCCTCTATTATGAACTTTAGTTTTTCTTTCCCTTTTGGACCATTTTAAAATAATGTGCCCTCCTTTAAATAATAAAAACTTCCATTTAGGTCTGATTTATCTACTCTACTTGTCTGATAAAATAACATACTTCAAAATTTAACTTAATACTCGTATGAAGCAGTGTTCTAAAATACGTNGATTAGGCGGGATAATGCGCGCCTAGGCGCTCATTAGTCGCGCCTTTTAGATGGAAAACGCGTTTTTCCCGCATTTCCCGAGTTCGACGCGATTTGGACGCGCGTCGCGCCTAGGCGGCGCGTTTTCATGTTTTTTAGAACATGGGTATGAAGTCAGAGCAAAATATTCATTTTGTAAAGGAGTGATTACGTGAGATTGATATACCCTCAAGAGATTGAAACTCACATGGACCTACTGAAGTTCACTATATATAAATTAATTTCCTAAGATATTATTAACCTGTGGCTAGATTCCTTCATAATTACTGCTAATAAAAGGATTGATTAAGTTTCCCTATATGGATTTATGGTTGAAGTGTGTGATATGAATTTTATTTGAATACAAGTGGTTATATCCTCTGATGTTCGGACTCTTTCAAATAGTCGAGTATTTGTGTCGGACACGATATGGGTATGTGTATGGAATATGTGTCGGATCCTCCAAGTTTCAATCGGACACTTCATCTTTTTTACTTCTTTCTTTTTCTTCTTCTTCTTCTTTTTTTTTTTTCCTTTTTTTATATCCCATTTTTGCTCTCTATAAACCTAGCATCGCAGTTAAGAGTGTGGATAAAGGAGACGGCGCTAGGTTTTCCCTTCTTTTTCTTCTTTTTTCCTTCTTTCTCTCTCTGTATGGTGGTTTAGGGTTTTGTTTGTATAAAATGAAAATAGGTTCCATATAGTACTACTTAGTGTTCCACTAAGTCCAAATTGCAATCAAATCCCTCATTTTCTATTTATATAACATTTAGTAATTCTCATAATTGAAAACTGAACCCCAAAATTCTATTTTTTAGCTTTAACCCCTTATTTAATACCCGTTTATTTCTTTGTGAATAATTGATTTTGGTATATTCAAAATGAAATCTTGGATTAGTAAAAAAATTGAAGTTTGAAAGACGTAACCATGTACCTGTGTCCGAAATTTGGACTCTTTTTAGCCATGTACCCATGTATCCTACATTTTCGAAAATAAAAGATCCAACACTTAGATACGTACATGTATCCGATACCAATTCCCGAGTCCGAGTATCATAGGTTATATCGATGTATATGCTTTCTTTTGTGTCCCCGTGGATGTAGACATGTTTTTTTGACCACTTTTCTTGTTTTACTCTTTTTGCCCTTGTTTATGTATTTTTTTCTTCTTTTTTTCTTAAAAACTCGTTTATGTATTCTTAAATATAATGCTTAGAAACCATTCTTCCATACAGTGGTTTAAATGGTCTTGCACTTTCTTCTGTAGGTGAGAAGGGCGTTGGAGACTCGACAAGGAAACCTCTACACTACAAGGGGTCCATTTTTCATCGCATAATTCAAGGATTTATGGCACAAGTATGTTGTTTATGCTTTTATAGAACACTAATTATGAAAGAAAACGTACTGGGTGGAGCTTCCTGTAATTCTCCAGTAACTGTTCATGCATATGTCTGTTGCTGTTTGTGGTCTGTCTTCTACAATTAGTCAACTCCAATTGGTTTCTGGTTGCTTGCTTTTCAGTTCCCACAACATCTGTATGATTCTCATTTTAATTGAGGATGCCACAATCTGTGCATATGTCCTATATCTTCTTGGCTGAACCCTTGAGGAAGTAGAAGCAAATTGGTTTCCATAAGCAGAACTTTTGAAAAAAATTCTCGAGTATTTTCTGGGTTCGTGAAGGATAGCAATATGCTGCAGTGACAGTGGTTGGAGGTTGCTCTTTGAAGTCATTTAAATAGGTGAGTAGGGCACTTGGGGAAGGTCTTGATAGTTTAAATCTTAGATGGAATGAGAAGTGAAGGTGGTTTCTATGCAGAAGTGATAATTCATTGCTAATGTGATGAGAAGAAGTCTTGCCATTGGTGGTAAATCAGCAAGGTTTGAATAGGTTTCTCCTACTGTAATAGGGGACAATTTCATACAGATGGGGCTACCTACTGTTGGTTGTAGGAAAAAGGGTGGTAATTCTAGGATTTCAATCGAGGGTTCGAGAGAGGCAGAGAAAGTGTGTTTAATTACGCGTGAGACCATGAGTGGAAGGGTTCAAGCCTGCTTTGAGGTTGTTACGTTGGTTGAAAAAGGGACGATGAGATGTAGACATTAAGTGTGGAGAAGGGGAAGGTTCATGTTGTTTTAAGATGTACACACATGTTCTCTCTTCAGCATACTTGGTCACTGAGAGTGAGTTCAGGAACTGTGGCCTTCAAAAATTCATTTTGGCACGTTGTAGACTAGAAACCATGGACATCAGGACTGGATGGTCCATGTTCATCGCAAGTTGAAGATGGTCACGCTCTGGTCTCTGAAAATATTGCTATTATATTTTTAGTTTTGGAAGCATGAATGTGCATTGCCAATGACAATTAATTCGACTTGAGGTTGGGCATTATTACAAAGCAAATGAAAAAGGATTTGTTTTGTCTGCAGTAATTGTGGGTTCCATTTTGGATACAGCGATTAACTAAGGACATGTTGCGACACACTTCAAGAACACTATTGACATCAAACATGTTACATTTTAATAAAAAATGGGTTGGAATATGAAATGAAAAAATTGCACAATAGGAGAATATAAAGAGGAAAAACATCTGTTCAGTGTAGGGAATAAAAAGAATTGTAAGGAGAATGATAATGGAAGGCTTACAATACCACTGGAAATCTCTATCGATGCATGCTCGTTAACGTGGTCGATTAAATTGCATTAACTATTCTTTTTGCCTTCTTCAATAACCAGTGATGTAATGAATTTTTATTTTTTATTTTTTTTATATATATCAATATCAATGCATCTTTCTTGCCTGTTTATCAAGGTACAAACAGGTTTTAAGACTTGTACATCATAGCATATAATGTTTATAATCAACATGCTCCTAACATAATGTGTCACTTTTTGGAAATACATATTTGGTCTTCCGTTTTCTTTCACGTTCTTTTTCCTCATGCCTGTTGTTCTTGTGCCTATGTCCTGTAAGTGTGTCCATGATATTGAGATGCTTCTATTTGAATCTTGTACTTGTACCCAGTTTTTTGTAGTCTTTATGTCCTGATTACATCTTTGTTGAAATAGCGAGTTCTGGATTATTGTTCATTGATGACAATTGTTTGAGGAATCAACTTTCAATATTTCCTTGGCATAAAACGACTAGATTTGTTGGCAATGGAAGAAATATATATCTTTGTTTCTTTTTTTTCTCGTACAAGAATGCGTGGGAGAGTGCTCATGGATACATTTATTTAGTTTTTCTGAATACTTCAACCAGCCATATTCGGACATAGACATGCGCACTCGCACGCACACACACACAAACTCTATTTTGGAAAACTTTTGTCTCATGTAGTTCCTTTTTCATGCAGGGTGGTGACTTTTCAAAAGGAAATGGTATGCTTTTTTCTCTTCTGGATCTTGTACTTTCAATTGACGCAGATGCTCGATATGACTTCAGACGTCATGCCCAGACTTGTAAGGCACAACCTTTTAATGGTTTGCAGGCACTGGTGGAGAAAGCATCTATGGAGGGAAATTTGCTGGTAGGTTTTTTTGTATGTTTGTGCTTATTTTTCCTGTAGTGGTGGCTCACTTTTAAGACCTCTTCAAATTTTTCCTTTTGATTTCGCAGATGAAAACTTTAAGCTGGATCATAGTGGGCCCGGTTTTCTCTCTATGGCAAATGGTGGTCCAAACACAAATGGTTCCCAGTTCTTCTTAACTTTTAAACGCCAACCACATCTTGATGGGTATTTGATTTTGTTCTTATTTACCTGTATCATAATGTCCTCAAGTCCCCAACATTTATTCTTTTTTGGGGTCTTGGACAACTAAACTTGGGTACTGTTTGTAACTGAATTTCTGATATTTCCTTCTGTGGCAGAAAACATGTTGTTTTTGGAAAGGTTGTGAAGGGAATGGACGTTGTTAAGAAAATTGAACAAGTGGGAACAGCTGATGGTAAACCATCGGGGTTGGTGAAAATTGTGGACTGTGGTGAGACGCCTGAGAGTAAAATAAATGATTCGGTTGGAGCAAGGAAAGGTAGTATTGTGACTCTGACATGGCAAGTGTTGTCTTATGACTGCTGTGACATCTTTCCTTTCTTTTTGATATTTCTGCTCATGATGCCTTCAGGAAAAAAGAAAAAACCAACAAGAGCTCTTTCATCCGATAATAGTTCTGACAGTGAAGCAAAAGGGAAACGACAAGCATCTCGTAAGGATAGGAGGAGAAAGAGAAGAAAGAGATACTCTTCATCTGATTCATACAGCTCTGATACAGATTCTGCTTCTGCTTCTGCTTCTGCTTCATCTGAGACAGATTCTGTTTCGGACTCTGATTCAAATTCTGAATCAGACTCTCATTCTTCAAGTTCTTCCAGTTATGGAAGAGGGAGGAAGAAAAGGAAGTTGACCAAGAGAGGTAGACATCAACGTGGGAAGAAAAAGGTTGGACGAAAGGAGAGGAGGAAAGTTAAACGTGATAAAAAATCAAGGCAGAAGTCCAAAAGGTTATTATCTTATGTCTTTTTCCATTTCCGACGAAGTACTATGTTCCAGTGGTCCCAGTTTTAGTCTTTTTTTTGTAGTCATACCGATGGAGGCATGTATCTCACAAATGTCGTCCATGTCTTGGATTATGACATTATGTTTTCACCCACCATTTGTAAGACAAAAGGCATGCAATCTATTATAAACAATCTTTCAATAAATAACAGATGAGAAATGGTTTTTGAAGTCTAGAATATTTTCAAATCAATGGTTTGGGTGATCTGTGGACATCGTTGATGAGGGAACCACAACTGTGTCACAGAAGAAGTGTTGTTTAACAATCCATTTATCAAAACTAAGTTCTCAATTTGTCTCTATTTCACAATTTTTTTACTCAGAAACTCGGGAAGTTCCAGTGATACTGAGAGCGGGAGTAGGACCAGCAGCAGCTCTGACGATGAAAATGCCACTAGGGGCAAATTTGCACGTAAAAGTAACATATTGGGCCAAGAAATGAAGAAGCCAGCACAAAGTCTAGGTATCTTATCTTTCTAAACTCTATTGAATGATCTCCATTATCATCATTGTTACTTTCCCGACTTAAATAAATTTCAAGAAATGACCAAATATTTAATTTTTAGCCTGACTATCTCATAACTGGAAATTTACAGGATTGGAGAAGAAATCCCCAACCCCCCTGTTGGGACAAGCCGTCGCAGAGCAGAGGAAGGACGATGAACTGAAGCAGACAGTTAGCAGCTCATCTCATGAAGAGGGTGAATTTTCTCCCAAGAATGATGACACACTGTATAATGGTCATGAAAAAGAGTTAAAGGCTAATGAAGCTGCAAAGCATGTTGATCAATCTGACTATTCTAACAGATCCAGGTCTTCACTATTTAATACTTTTTGCTCTTACATCTGCTCCAGTAGTTGGTTTACTTCTCATTTTCATTTCCATCCCATTCTTGCTTCTTTATTTAATGCTTACTAATATCTTATTACCCATGTTTTTACTGCTCTGACAGTAAAATTCCTAGATCGTCTGGTCAGCTAAGCAGTAAAAGTCCTCCAAGGAGTCCCACCCATAAAGCTCCACCACCATCCACTTCTAGTCGTGGTCGGGTTTTGTCTAGAAGCCGCTCTCCAAATGGAACTCCAAAGCGTGTTAGGAAAGGGCGAGGCTTTACTGAACGATACGCCTTTGTCAGGCGCTATCGCACACCATCTCCAGAACATTCATTGGATAGATCTTATCCATATGGTGGAAGAAATATTCAAAGGAACGACAGGTACTTTCTTGATGACAGATCCAAATGGTGGTTTGTTATGGGTCATTTGCTAAATATGTGCCCTCACTTAGCAGCTCTTGCTAAGAACGTCTCTGCCAGATTTTAAGAATTGGAGAAAATTTAGAAGATGTCAGACACACTTCTTCTATCTGCCACTTTTAAAATGGAAATCAGATAAGCAAAACAGCCGTGTAAAATTGCATCTTTTGTTCTCTGTTTTGGCTACCGCCATCCTGGAACATTTCATCTCACGGCCACGAGCTTATGGTGTTGCACATTCGTAATCATCCATCATTTGAAATTAATGACTGAATTTTTAGAACTTCAAGTTGACTTTTTCTTGTTCCGTTCGGCATTAATATTTACTTCTGGCAATAACACTTATATTTGAAACCTTTTTTAGTATTTTTGCTAATGACATTTGTCTCTCTTTGTCATGAGTCAGTATAGATCAAGATTGGACTGTTTGAATCTTCTTCGCTGTAAAATATACTTCTTTGTTTTGTTTCTTTAGAAAGCAATGAGTTAGTATAGATCAAGATTGGACTGTTTGAATCTTCTTCGCTGTAAAATTTACTTCTTTGTTTTGTTTCTTTAGAAAGCACTATCATCTGACTGTTTGGTAAATTACGTGAACTTGCCTAACTTCCTTTTTTTTTTCCTATTCCTCTCTGTTCTAATCCTAAGAAAGATAGAGGTCTGGGCTTAACAATGTCGATTCCCTCTTGATTTTTGATGGTTGATGTTGATCTATATCAATCAGTTGCCTAAAGGGTGGGTTTTTGTTGGAATTAGGATGCTCAGCATGAGCTAAAACAATTGTCTACAAACCAACTGTGATCAGTATCTGAGTAGAAATGATGTCTGAATTGAGGGGATGCTATAAAGAATGGTTTGCTAATTGTGACTTTTTAGGTATTCAAGTTACAGAAGTAAGTTTGAACATTCACCACAAAGACGATACAGAAGCTCACCTAGAAGAGACAGGAGTCCACCCAGGTCTCTCTCTCTCTCTGTACACATACACATATCTTAATGTCTGTGTGTATGTCTCTTTCCTGTACATGCTGGTCTGTTTGCGAATTCAAAATTCTGAAGTGTACAATGCACGTTTATTTCCCTGCATGCATGTGTATTTGAACCTTCGGTGCACAGTCCGTACAGATCTCATCAATTTGGTTGTTTATGATTATGATTATGTTTGGGTGAGCTTAAAATGTTTTCTTACAAGTAACCAAGTTTTAAAATAAATAGCTTATTTAAATATAAGTTACTTGTTCTGACACTAAGTTCGTGTTTTTTACTTAAAAGAAATAAATAAGTTATTCAAAAATACTTCGAAAACAAAAAAGTAACTTAAAAGTATCTTCTACCTTTTTTAAGCATGATCAAACATTCTTTCAGGCACTGTATCTTTTTGCTAATTTTACTTCAATTTCGTGCTATCATAAAAGAGTTATTGTTTTGTGTTTTGTGTTTTAGATATGAACGCAAAAGAAGTCCTAGTAGGAGTCGTTCCCGAAGCCCAGGTCATTACCGTGCCCGGAGAACATATCATAGCAGGAGCCCTGTGCGAAGTCCTAGCCCGACAGATAGGCGCCCTGCAGTTAGCGATAGACTAAAATCCCGTCTTGGGCCAAAAGTGAATGACCAAATCCCTCAAAATAGAGGTAGATCTCATTCACGCTCTAGGAGCCGTGATTCGTCCACATCTGGAACTCCTTATAAGCGTCCAGGAAAAAAGGCGTCTGCTTCGCCGGGCAGTTCCAGATCCAGCTCCCCTGGCGGTCGAAGGGGTTTAGTCTCTTATGAAGACTTGAGTCCTGAGAACGGAACAAATTAGTGTTGTCTTGAAAAAATCTTGGTTTCTTTCTGAATATCTCGTATTCCATTTTGTGTTTATTTGCAAACTGAATGTTCAGCTTAGAACGTATTTCCCATCAAAATCCTTGTAAACTTTGATTGCACTTTATGGCTTACGGATGGAAGTGTTGACATTTGAAGCTACTGATTTTTGTGTGCTTTGACACTATCTCTGCCTGGATCATGCTACGTGTACAGGGCCCTGTACAACCATTATAATCCTCTGCCTGCACCCTGTTTTTGTTTTGGTTAAAAAGCTGTCAAAGTTGTGCTCTCTTGCTGTAAGTTCTTGGATTTTCCATTCATTTTGAAGGAACATGGTTATCCTAGATAAAAGGATTTACATGCTTATTTGAAAGAAATGTGACACGATCGTAGAGATCAGGGTCGTGGTTTCTCTTCATCGTGAGTCCTTATCTCTATTAGTTTGTTTATGTTTTGAGGTATTAATATCATATGCTTTACTACTTGTATAAGTATCACGAAAAGTACTGTACGGCAGTACATTAACACGACGTGCCATATGTCAGTTGATCTCAGACTTCATGTCCAAGGTTTTTCGACTATCTAACAACACGCATTCTTGAAAATCGAAATAAATTTCGGGGGGGGGGGGGGGGGGGGGGGGGGGGNGGGGGGGGGGGGGGGGGGGGGGGGGGGGGGGAAGTCAATAAGGAACAGGGAAGCAGCTCTGATATGCAGAAAGAATGGTGGAACTGCGTGTGTAGGAGGTTTGAACTTTGAACAATTTGATCTTTGATAAATACGTAGTAAGTAGCTGCCACGGCACCTAAGATGAAGTGAGAAAGAAACACAGAGCGATTTAAAGGCTCAGAAACATCCTCTGCCTTGGGACAAAGAAAAAATAATAATAAGGATTCTTTTAGCACTTGCATGCCCAAAAAATTGAAATTTTCTTAAGCTTAAATTAAGAAAGATCATCGAGAGTAAGCAGACAATTAGCAAGTGCTCCTTCCTTCAACATTTCATGCTCAAGGGATAGGGATAGGGATAGGATCCATTAAAGTGAAATTTTTTTTTCAATTAATTATGAAATTTGTTTTCATTACAAAAAAAACACGTGAACTGGGAAAATCAATTCTCACCTATCCCTAAAAAGGAGGCAAATAGGCGCGTGAGCCTCTCCCCAAAAAAATCAATTCCCTTCCACTTTTTGCTCATCAAACATGTCATTTCTTTCCATTTTCCAAGGAATTTGTTGTGTATCAAACATAACCTATTTGTAAGTAACTTGTTAAGCAATTAACTGAATTAGAAGAAGTACAAAAAAAATAAATTGCAGTGGACAGAAAATAAAAAGGACGTCTTGGAGCCGGGACCCGTGTTCAACACAGTGTCCTTAAAGCAATATTTGCCCCTTCATCGAAGTAATTCGAGCACTTGCTTCCCATGATACAGCGGCACAAACTGCAAATCAATATATTTTTCAACATTCTGAAACTTGTAGAGAATTGTTAGATTATGTCAGTTTCTTCTAACTAAAATTTTTAAATAGATAAATTATTTTTAAAAAATTATGAAAGATGTTCAAAAGCACTGTCAGATGAACCCTTCTTACGCTTTATTTATTGAGACACGCACCCTATTTTGCTCCATTATTTGAAATTTTAATGGTTTGAATAGTTTTTTTTTTTTTTAATCTATAGTTAAAAGGGAAGAATTTTTTTTTTGAAATTACGTATAGTATTATTTTATTAAAAAATATATGATTGATAAGAAAAAAGAAAAAAAGAAATTATAATTTTAATGGAGTTACAAACTACGATGGCACCATAGGAGTTTGCAATGCATCGGACAATGTTCTCTCACTGAAAAACAAGAGTTGGGGTGGTGGGGGGCGGCAAAAGGAATGTAAACCTAGGCGAGTTTATAGGACCAATAAAACTAATTTTTATTTATTAATTAAAACCGTACAATTAGTCAGTAAACAAATGTTTTTCTGCTACAAATTCTGGATAATTAGGATACAGCTGACAGCAATGATGTCACCTTAACCAATCACGGTAAGTTAAGAATTTAAAATTATTATTTACTGACAAATATTTAATTAATTAAATTGATTATCCCTTTTGTTATCAGTATTATTGCATTGATAATTGAAAACAATTGAATATAATCTCGTTTGAGAACTTTAATGTTGCAACTTGTCTTAAAAAAATATAATTACTCTAATGGCTTTGCGACCTTTTTATTTTAATGTTATTTATTTTTAGCAAAGATTTTAAACTTTAGCTCGTGATCTTTAAAGTGGTAAAGCTACTTGAAACAACGTTTTAATCTTGCATTAGATTTTCTTGATAATCGAGTTTGCCACTTGATCTTTTGTACCATCGAGTTCTTTACTAAAGAAAATAAAGGTGGTGTTGGTCGAGCGGTCTACACTTCCTTTCAGATGACGAGTTGAGAGATTCAGTTTTTGACATGTCCCAACAATTTTTTTATCTTTTTATTTGATGGTCTAGCAAAAATAAATTTTCAGAAGGTACATACATAGCCTATCTTTACACCTCTAGATGAACTTTTTGTTACTAGGTGAGTACGGTGGCTTTAATGGACATTTATTTCAAATTAGTCATAATTCAACGTGCATCCCAGTTATTTTGAAATACTTTATGAGTGTTATAAAAGTAATATTTGATGTCAATCAATTTATTGAGGGGATTTGATGAGTTTCAAACGAATTATGAAATAAAACTTAGGATATAAATTTAAGAGAAGAAAATTATATTATCAAAACTCAACTTCTATCATTCAATTTTTTTGTGATGATGAAATACTATAAATGAGCAACATTTTTGTACTACATTTGGTACATAATAATTAATTACTACTACATGAATTTAGACACTTATTAAAATTCTTAGATACATGAATAGAAATAAATTTCTTTATAATAACTCTAGACTAGATCAAGATTCATCGAGTCTGGATGGATGTGAATGTTAATTAATTGAGAATTAATAACACAAAATTAATACACGACAAGAATTTTGTAGTATTAATTATATATTGAAAAAACAAAAAGTAAGATATTATTGAAATAATTGAATTGTACTATAGTTAAAATCGTCCAAAAAATTATTCTTACTTGATATGATTTTTAATATATTAATATAAATAACTAGTTAATAAAAAGAGATTAAGAAAATTCATTAAAAAAGACACCACTTAGAATCATATTCACACATTCTCTCTCACTCATACGCAGACACACGCGCGCGCACATACGTCTAGATTTAATGTCTTCACACTACTTGTCAACTAAGTACGTTACATTACACCTTACATTTACTTATTTATTGAGAAGTGATACGTCGAGATGTCAAAAATTTATTAAAAGACTGCATATCAAGAATGTCTAAAAAGCGAGACAGAACAAAAATTAAAATATCCCAATTTATTATTTCGTTTAATTAATTAATTATTTATTTTATCATCATTTATCTTTTAATTACATTTTCAGTTAAAAGATAAATATATAAATAAATTTACAAAATTCGAGACGAAATTTTTTGTCATGGCTACTACTGCATGTGTCAATTTCAGGCACACTTACTCACAGAGGAACTATGAACCATGTGACAGGCACGTGAAAAAATGAGAAGCCCATTGCTTTCAGTTTGGGATTCCCAAGTATATTGGATAGCAAAGCTTCCACATTCATTGTATTACATGATAATGAATAATAAGTAACTTGCAAAAAATCTAACAACATTGTGAATAACATCATTTTCGCTTTGTCCTTTTTTGGCCCATAAAATTTGATCTCTCAAATGTTTCTTCAACATTGTATTTTTGTCGAGTCGCAAATGCGAAATATTTGTCAATCGTTTTGTTTAATTAATCAATGATAGCGCTCCCATATTGCCCTCAATAGAAATTGACATTAATATCTTAATAACGACAAACATGCAATAAAGGAATATACTTGGTAGTGTTAAACAAGATTGGACGAGATTTTAACTTATTTTTCTTACTTCTATTTAGCGTATGTTATCCAATATCACATACAAACATTAAAGAGTATGTTTGATGCACATTTCTTAGGAGAGAATGCATTTTTTTGTGATGTGATATGATATGATGACGAATATGTGGTTAAAAAAGAACGAAAAGTTATTGACGTGATGAAAAAATTATTTTATTGAAAAATGTGTGGTAGAAAATGAGTAAAAGAATGATAATGAAAATGAGAATGTGGCTAAAACAGGAGATAAGTACATGAAATTGATAAAAAAAAAAAAAATTAAAGAAAGGACAAGTATGAAATATTTATCTATTATTCTGTTTAGTTTTATCGAGTCTAATATATTAGGATCTCGTTAGACGGAGTTTTTTTGACTAGCAAAAGCTACTCCTAAGATCAAGATGATACTTTTGAACATATTTGGATAATTTTTCGAATTACTTGTCTGATTAAAAGAGTTTTTAGATGAATCTAATGTAATTTTCTTTGAAAACTCTTATATAAGAAGTAAAAGTAAGAATAAATGCCTGCCAAACAAACCCTAAATACAACCTAAATTTTTCGAGTGGTTACTAGGGTTGAAGACCTCATGTGCATAACTGCACACAAATACAGAAATATATGTCGTGCATGTTGGATGAGTATATACGTTTTTTCCGACTCTTCGTAGAATATTTGCAAATATTCTAACTGATGTCGGATTCCAACACTTGCACCATCAATTAATTTGGCTGACATAATAATAATAATAATAATTAATTAATTATAAATCTGTATTATTGAACAAAAATGACAACTGATTAGTAATTACTCAAATGATATGCTAATTATAAAATTTAAGGGATAAAATACTTTATTTAGAAGATGATTGACCAGCATGTAGCATGATAATAATTGGAATAATTTAACTAAAATTATTTATTTTATTATTTACTTATTTATTTATATGTAAAGTAAAATTTTTAAGCTTAATCGGAGACAAATCTCAAAAAATAAAAATAAAATATTATTTATTATATTATTGAATTGTGCATAACATAACATGCGTGGGGTCTTCAAAAGGGGTCAGGTCTAATATCATAATCCCATACCTCCTTATGATTAAAATAGGTCACGTCTTCAATTGCACGTTCTTCAAATAAAAAAAGGGTAATTATATTACCATTACAAAATTTATTGGTTACACCACAATTTTAAATATATTTTTTATNATTTATTGGTTACACCACAATTTTAAATATATTTTTTATTTACTTAAATAACCTTAAGTAAAATTAGGTAAATGAGGTTTTAATATATTTATTACATAAAATCATTTATTGTTCCACCACAATCATAAACCTAATTTTTCATTTTTCCCCCTCAACAATCGTGCAAACGACATCAATTGTTGGCGAAGTGAGCCCCATTCTCATTTGAGAAGTCAATGGTGCAAAGTTTCGAAGTCAGAATTTTTTCTATTTGGGAACAACAAATCTGACATAAAAACATTTTTTCTTCGTGATGGTTATCGATCTCTTTGTCAAAAACACGTCTGATGAGGTCTCCTCTTGAAGCAGTGTAGTTTGCATTGTTTGCAGCATTCAACATCCAGCAGCAAAGAGAATCCAACTAATCAAGTCAGTGAAGATTGACGATAAATGCTCAAAACACAATGCAATCACTTTCTCTACTTTTATTGGAGCAATATCAGTTGAAAAGAGATCCCTTGTTTTCCAGACGTAAGTAGTGATGGCAATCGAGCCGAGCGGCTCGTCGGCTCGGCCGCTCGGCTCGTACTGTAGCGATCCACGAGCCGCTCGGGCTCGTCAAAAGACGAGCCCGAGCTTGAGCCGAGCAGACCCGTTCATAGACGAGCCGAGCTCGGCTAGGCTCGTTAAGAGACGAGCGCTCGTCGGGCACGAGCCCACGAGCCGAGC